ACAGAAAGAAAAAATGAATTAAATAACAAGCCATACAAGGGTGACAGAGAATTTCTAAGGCCTAGTCTTCAAGACAAAAACTAGCTATATTTAAACATGGGTATGGCTTAACAACGTTACATATTCTCTGTCTATATAGGTATAAACAAACCACGACACCATAATTTTGGCAAAAGCTATGTTTAAACTGTTATTCTTAGAGCAAAAGTTGCATCTTTGATCACTTTTCATCCTATACACCGTCCTGACAATTAATGCTTGCCAGGCTCTTAGCAATAAACTTTCCAGGACTTGCAGCAGAGTATTATCATCCCCAGAAAGCTGAAAGCAGAGTATGTGACTGTGACAGGGTGCCGCAACCTTGCACTTCAAGTTCCCTGGCGCAGGCCATGTATGGGGCGCGGCAGGATGCATAGAGAGTAGGCACAGCGTGCCCACATGCCGCGTCAAATGCCACTATGCCACACTTTAAACCCCCCGGCCCTGGCCAAGCGGGGGTGGGGGTGGAGCGCAGACGGAGCATGTACAACGTGTTCGCATGCCACGCAACAGCTGGGAGAGGAGGCGCCCTGGTGTGACACAATGCCAGGGCACTAGGATTCAAAAGGGGCCAGTGTTTGCAGGGGGGGGGCAGACCAGAGGAGGGGTGGAGGACACTGTGGGGTCACATCTCCCGGGGTTCTCCCCGAGGCACCCCAAGTGAGACCCAGAAGGGATAGGGGCAAGGCAGGCCCCCCAACACGGTCCAGTCGACGGACCAGATAAGGGGAGAGGAAGTGGCCCAGGGCAGGGCAGTATAGCCCGCGGGCTGGCGCGTTTTGGCAGGAAGCCCTGCCAGCTGGATCGGACATAAACAGGCCCATGTCCTTAGGGCCCTGGGCTGGGGTCCGTGAGTGAAGGTGGGCCATGAAGTGGAACACAAGAGAGAGGACTAAGACGAGGAGACTTGGTGCGAATCGGACTCTTGTACCCGCTTGGGGGAATGGTGGTGGGAGGTAAATCAAGGCACAAGTGGGCTAACTGGGGTCTGCACGTGTACAGTGACCTTCACAGCCAGGTATATTTAATATTTTGCTTTTACTTGCACTCGGTTCTTTGTAACTGATAATTGCTACTGGTATTTCCCCGGCAGCCTCCATTGTAGGTTTAGCTGCTACTGTCCAGTGTGTGAATTAGGTAAGTTAGGTTTTTAATTCCGTTATGAAATACCCAGGGGGGGTCACAATATTTGAGAGGATCTAAATAACTAAATAGGCATACACATGTAACACAGAAGACTACCTCTAGTGAAGTACAGAATGCAATCTAATAGCTAGATAATTACATACAGAAGGCTTCTATTCCAACACTGCATTTCATTTTTTCCACATCCAAAATTCTTAGGACCTTTGGTAACATACTACAGAAAAATGTCCTTATGTGGTCATTTCAGATCCTACTGAGCTCTTACTCAGGCAAAATTTCTACTGACTGGAGCTGTCTGAGCAAGGACTGCTGAATAGGGCTATTCATGTGTAAAAAATAGAAGGAGCACTATTATACTGTCTGTAATTTAGCACATTTTAAAACATTCCCTACAAAGACAAAGATTCCCAAAGAAAAATCCCAGCATTTACTTAGAGACTGAAATAACAGGAAATCCTTGGTATTTTCTGCAACTCAGTACTTTTGTCCCTGCTAGGGAAGGAGCTGTCCTAGAGAATACACTTCATTCTCTAGGAGTGCATCTATACAGCACCCTAAACTTGAAATAAGATACACAATTTGCATATCTCATTTCAAAATAGCTTATTTTGAAATCTGGCATGTCTACACAGCACCAAATAGCACATTATTTTGACCCTTCAAGACATCCCTTACCCCTTGCGCAACAAGGGTTTACCGGGATGGCGAAATAGCGCTCCTGTTATTTTGAAATAACAGGCAGCTTGTGTAGATGCAGGGTAGCTATTTTGGGATACTTCTGGTATCCCAAAACAGCCAAGCAGTGTAGATATACTCTAAGACAAGTTCATGGAGTCAGGTCTAGCAAAATGTCTTACAGCATCTATAAGGAAGCTTCTTCCCTCGGCAACATAGTAACAACAAACTGCAGTCTATATGGAACTTGTGTCCTTCTTTTATTCTCCAATAAAGAAGACAGAAGATCAGGCTTACCGGGTAATATATCCAACACACCCCATGTCGAATATTATCTTTGTATTGTCCTTTGAATATTAGTCGCCCATCAATGTCATATTCCTGGGCAGGTCCATTAAGTTCTCCATCCACATACGTGCCGTGAAGAACCCCTCCATCCTCGTACGTGTAGAGTCCCTGGCCTTGGAGAGCATCATCGACATAATACCCTTCCAGTGTGCTGATACAAAGAGAAAGACAAATGGTGCAGTTGTCCCCCTCTTTTAAACAGTACTCTGTAAAATTGAACAATATACTCAAAAACCCCTCACCCATTTTTCCCCCCCACAAATAAAGCTCATTACTACTGTATTCTCAATCTAAATAACACTTGGCACTTATATTGTACTTTCCTTTTCAAAGCTCCTTAAAGATGTTAATTAATCATTCCATCAAACTGATACAGCATTCTTGACCTACACTGCTACATTTTATAGATGTGGTCACTGAAGAAGAGAAGTGAAGGAAGTGATTTACCCAAGAAGCCAAAAAAGAAATCATCATCATGGCAGATTCCTTTTGTATTAGGATTTTTTCTTTCAATCCTATAGTCAGACCTTCAGATTTCATTTTTTCAGTGTCATGAAACTTTAAGACTGACACTGCCAACTTACATCAGTATAATTACAGCACTCATATAGCATTTCACTAGCAAATCACTGATTTCACCTCACTTTCCTCTTGCAATACCGTTAAAAAAGTATCAACAATATCAGAGCTACACTATGTTCTAATTTGTTTCCCTTTTTTAGAAAACTGTACTAAGTGAAACTAACAACTAAGGATTAAAGAAAAGTTCCTTTGTATAAAGTCTCTTCTTACCTTACAAACTAAAACTGTTTTTTTAGAATATCTAATTTGCCTCAAGATATTTAATTAGCATGCTAGTTTTTAACCACTTAATGTCAAATGATCATCTGCATAAATTATCTTAAAATGTAATGGCATCTATGGTAAAAGCATAACTAACTGGGAATAGTACTCAATGTGTTTCAGAAGACTTCAAATATTTGCTTTATTGTTGGATATGGGTTTCATCAAAGTAACTCTTAAATTTCCCCCCCTTTACTTCCTACAGTGTTTCGTTCCCCTGAAAGAAAAATATTTTTGCTGATAAAATGCGGCGCAAGATATCTATAACTTGATATTTCAGATTGCACTATGACTTGTGTCATCTGCAGAAGAAAATGAAACTGTGAGGGAATGCTAAGAAAAGCCATGGTGCACAAACATGGTTTGGCTGCTAAAATGGACAGAGTCAAACTTTTTTCAACAAGGACAGTACAGGACAACAAGCACAAGGGACCAGTGGTCAACCATGAGTAATTATCCTAGCGTAAAGGTGCTCAAACTAGAAACAAGTAGGCAAAACAAACAAGCTTGAGAAATCTTCCTGGTAAGTGAACTTGCAAAGAATTCTTGAATTTTAAGAATATAAGCTCCTCGGGGAGGAATCTCCCAAACATTATGACAAGCACATTTTCAGCAGTTGTTATTACAATGAATTAAAATGTTAAAGCTCCAGATCACCAATATTAAAACAGCTCCGTAAATCTTAGAAGGGTTTTGGAGAGGTTGTGTATCCCCCACATCTCATTTTCTCTGTACTCCAACTCAAGTCTCTGGGATTTCTCTTTACAACTTAAAAACACCAACCCTTCCCTATGCTCAGCGATGCCTCAAACATTCCCACTTCTAGTAATCCCTATACAAACAGGCTTCAAATTTTCCCTTTTGCAACACATGGTCAAGAATAGCCAGTTTAAGAAATGTCCCGCTAGTTCTATGGGGAACAGAAGTTGTAGTTCAATGAGACCTAGACCTAGACTTTAGTAAGGCATTTGATACGGTCTCGCATGATATTCTTATTGATAAACTAGGCAAAAATAACTTAGATAGGGCCACGATAAGGTGGGTGCATAATTGGCTGGATAACCGTAGTCAGAGAGTTGTTGTTAACGGTTCTAAATCCTGCTGGAAAGGGATAACAAGTGGAGTTCCTCAAGGGTCTGTTTTGGGACCCGTACTGTTCAATATCTTCATCAATGATGTAGATATTGGGATAGAGAGTACGCTTATTAAGTTTGCAGATGATACCAAACTGGGTGGGATTGCAACTTCTTTGGAGGATAGGGACATAATTCAAAACGACCTTAGCAAGTTAGAGAAATGGTCAGAGGTAAACAGGATGAGGTTTAATAAAGAGAAATGCAAAGTGCTCCACTTAGGAAGGAACAATCAGTTCCATACATACAAGATGGGAAGCGACTATCTAAGAAGGAGCATAGCGGAAAGGGATCTAGGGGTCATAGTGGACCACAAGTTGAATATGAGTCAACAGTGTGATGCTGTTGCAAAAAAAGCAAATATGATTCTAGGTTGTATCAACAGGTGTGTTGTAAGCAAAACTCGTGAAGTCATTCTGCCGCTCTACTCTGCACTAGTTAGGCCTCAGCTGGAGTACTGTGTCCAGTTCTGGACGCCACATTTCAAGAAAGATGTGGAGAAATTGGAAAGGGTACAGAGAAGAGCAACAAGAATGATTAAAGGTCTAGAGAACATGACCTATGAAGCCAGGCTTCATGAACTGGGCTTGTTTAGTTTGGAAAAAAGAAGATTAAGGGGGGACATGATAGCGGTTTTCAAATATCTAAAAGGGTGTCACAAGGAGGAAGGAGAAAATTTGTTCCTCTTGGTTTCTGAGGACAGGACAAGGAGTAATGGGCTTAAAGTGCAGCAGGGGAGGTTTAGATTGGACATTAGGAAAAAATTCCTAACTGTCAGGGTGGTCAAATATTGGAATAAATTGCCAAGGGAGGTGGTGGAATCTCCCTCTCTGGAGATATTTAAGAACAGGTTAGATAGACATCTGTCAGGGATGGTGTAGACAGAGCTTGATCCTGCCTTGAGGGCGGGGGGCTGGACTCGATGACCTCTCGAGGTCCCTTCCAGTCCTATTATTCTATGATTCTATGATTCTATGAGACCCAAAGATTTTCTGCTCAGTGATTATGCCACTTGGACAAAGATTAGCATGAAAGTAAAAGTACAGGCAGTCCCCGGGTTACATGGATCCGACATACATCGGATCCCTACTTACAAACGGGGTGAGGCAACCACGCACTAGCTGCTTCCCCCCGGCAGACCAGGGAGACGCGAAGCTAGCGCTACTCGCCCCCCCCCCCCCCCCCACCACACCACGGGGAGCGG